GACAGTCAGCTGATTTAGGAGACAGAGATCAGAGTTTAGAGAGGTTGAAGCAGCTGAGATTTGCAAGGAAGAGTGCCAGAGGATAGAGGTCCCCTTGTGTCTTTGGTGGAATACCACTAATCTGGGTACACATAAAGTGAGACTCCATGAGAAGAGGCAAAGAACAACTAATGGGAGGATGTGACACAATAAAAATATATATTTGGTCTCTGACTCCAGTTCCTGACACAGAGTTCCTAAATTCCTTGGAATTTCCTGGGTGATAGGAGTGTCTTTTGTTCTAATGAGGCAACTCTTAGTGGGCTGCTGAATAGGTGGCAGGTTACTAGAAAGACTAAACCAGGATTAGAAGCTTAGAACTTTCAGCTCCACCCCCTATCATTCCAGGAGGGGAGTGGGGCTGGAGGTTGAATTAATTGATCATGCCTACATGATGAAGCCACCATAAAAATCCCTAAACTATGGGGTTTGGACAGCTTCCAGGTTGGTGAACACATGCATGTGCCAGAAGAGTGTTGTACCCCAAACTCCTCAGCGACAGGAGCTCCTACACTTGAGACCCTTCTGGACCTCACCCTATGTACCTCTTTATCTTAGGTACTTATTTGTGTCCGGCTACTTATTTGTGTCCTTTATAATATCCTTTATAATAAACCAGTAATAGTAAGTAAAGTGTTTCCCTGAGCTCTGTGAGTCGTTATAGCAAATTATTGAACCTGAGGAAGGGATCATGGGAATCCCTGATTTGGAGCCAAGTCAGACAATGTAACCAAGTCAGTGGTTAACCTGAGGACCCACTACTTGAGACTGGTGTCTAAAGTTGGGGGCAGTCTTGTGGGACTGAACCTTTAATCTGTGGAGTAGTTAGTGTCAGAATTGAACTGACTTGTAGGAAACTCAGTTGGTGTCCATGGAGAATTAGAGAACAACAAACCCACATGTTTGTTGTCAAAAATATTTTAAGTAGAGAAGAAGTTTTCCTTTAGAGTTATAAGCTGGACAATTTTCAGAGCTCACAAAGGGCTGGATGATAGTCTAGTTCTTTTTTTTTTTTTCCCTTCTTCTCTCCAAAGCCCCCCAGCACATAGTTGTATATTCTAGTTGTAGGTCCTTCTGTCTCTGCTATGTGGGACACTGCCACAGCATGGCTTGATGAGTGGTGTTAGGTCCATGCCCAGGATCCAAACCGGTGAAACCCTGGGCTGCCGAAGTGGAGCTCATGAACTTAACCACTCAGCCATGTGGCCGGCCCCTGATATACTAGTTCTGACCAGCAAAAGTGAAGAGACCTTGTTGAACAGCTAGGATATTCAGTTGAGACTCAAGAAAGGTCATACTTTAGTGGTAAGGCTAAACTAGACCTAAAGGAAAGGCTACTCTAGACGTTCCCTACAAAGCTTAAAAACAAGTCTCAAAAGAATCAATCTGATTTACAAATACTTTAACTACTTACCAAAACTAAACTCTTCTTAAAGGAAGAAAACAAAATCCAAATACTCAGCAACATAACATTCACAATGTCCAGCATCTAATCAAAAGCTACTAGAAATATGGAAAGCAGGAAAAATGTGACCTAAACCAGGAAGGAAAAATTTCAACAGACAGATCCAAAAATGATGGAATTAGCAGATAAGGACTTTAAAAGATATTACAAATATGTTCAATAATCTAAAGGAAAACATGAACACAATGAAGAGAGAAATGGAAGACATAAAAAAACCAAAAAGATCTTCTAGAAGTAAAAAACATCATATCTGAAATGAAAAATTCCCTAAATGGGATTAGACATTGCAAATTAGAAGTTTAGACACTGTAGAAGATGAATGAACTTGAAGACATAGCAAGAGAAACTATCCAAACAAGCATGGAGAATAAAGTTTCAGTTACACAGGATGAATCCATTTTGGAGATCTAATGTACAACATGGTGACTATAGTTAATAATACTGTATTGTATACTTGAAATTTGCTAAGAAAGCAGATCTTAAGTGCTCTCATCACAGACAAAAAAAGGAAAAGGGAACTATGTGAGGTGATGGATATGTTAATTAGCTTGATTGTGGTAATCATTTTATAATGTATACTTATATCAAAACATCACATTGTACACATTAAATATACACAATTTTTTTAAATTGAGGTAAAATTAGTATATAACATTATATAAGTTTTAGGTGTACATCATTATAATTTGACATCTGTATACACTACAAAGTGATCACCACCAAAAGTCTAGTTATCGTCTGTCACTATACACTTGACCCCCCTTCACCCATTTCATCCACTCCCAACCCCCTTCCCCTCTAGTAACCACAAATCTGTTCTCTATATCTATGAGTTTGTTTCTGTTTTGTTTTGTTTGTTCATTTGTTTTATTACTTTTTGGATTCCACATGAGTGAAATCATAGTGTTTGTTTTTCTCTATCTGACTGATTTTACTTAGCATAATACCCTCAAGGTCCATCCATGTTGTTGCCAATGGCAAGATTTCATTCATTTTTTATGGCTGAGTAGTATTCCATTGTGTATATAGAACCACATCTTTATCCTTTCATCCATCAATGGATACGTAGGTTGTTTTCGTATCTTGGCTACTGTAAACAATGATGCAGTGAACACAGGGATGCCTACATCTTTTTGAATTAGTGTTTTTGTATTCTTCAGATAGATATACAGAAGTGGAATAGCTGGATCATATGGTAGTTTTTAATTTTTTGAGGAATCTCCACACTGTTTTCCATAGTGGCAGCACTAAATATATACAATTTTTGTCAATTATACCTCAATAAAGCTGAAAAACAAAAACAAACTGAAGCACAGAGAGAGAAAAAAGATGAGAAAAAAATTAACAGAGTCTCAGTGACCTGTGGAACAATATCAAGTGGTCTTACATGCATATTATTGGAGTCCTAGAAAGAGAGGAGGAGAATATTTGAAGAAATATGGCTGAAAATATTCCAATTTGATGGAAGCTATAATCCCACAGATTCAAGTTCAATCAATTCCAAGCAGGTCAAACACAAAACTCCAACAAGACACACCATAATCAAATTACTGGAAAACCACAATAAAGAAAAAATCTTAAAAGCTGCCAAAGAGAAAAACGACACATTATATACATGACTACAAGAATGACTACTGAACTTCCCATCACAAACAAAGCAAGAAGATAATTAAACATCTCCTTTAAGGTGATGGGGGAAAAAAACCACAACCTAAAATTCTATACTCAGCAAAATACCTTTCAAAAATGAAGGTGGAAAAAAAGTTTCAGAAAATGAAAGCTAAGAGAATCATTGCCAGCAGACTATCACTAAAAGAAATATTAAGGAAGTTCCTTAGGCTAAGAGAAAATGCTATGAGATAGAAACTTAGTTCTACACAACAGAATGAATAGAACTAGAAATGGTAAATATACGCATAATTATGAAATGTTTTCTCATTAAAAATTTATTTTAAATATAACTGACTAAGCAAATATAACAACATTGTATTGTAGCGTTTACAACTTATATAGAAATAAAATGTACAATAGCACAAAGGATGGGAGGAGGAAATGAAAATATGTTTTTCTAAGTTTCTTACATGAAAAGTGAAGTGGTATGATATTATTTGAAAGGAGATTTGATACATTAAAAACATTAAAAAATATATAATGTAAATACATATATTATATAATGTAAATGACCACTAAAAAAAGGTGAAGAGATATAGTTAATTGAACAATAAAAGAGGTAAAATAGAATACTAAAACAATCAACATAAAGGCAGAAAAGAGGGAAAAAAGGTATCAAAGAATGGATTGTACAAATAGAAAAACAGCAAAACAGGAGAATAAAAACCAACCATATCTTTAATTACATTACATATAAATAGTAAAAACTCTGAAGACTTCATTTGAAAGTCAGAGATTGTCAAATTGGGTTAAAAAACAGACCACAACTATATGTTATCTTACAAGAGATACAGTTTTTAAAGATGTAGATAGATTTAAAGTAGAAGGAAAGAAAAAGATATATGATGTAAATACTAATCAAAAGATAGCTTGACTACATTAATGGTTATATTAATATCAGACAAAGTAGACTTCAGAATAAAGAATATTACCAGAGACAAAGAAAACTTTTCATGACTATAAAAAAAATTAATTCATCAAGAAGACATAATCATCTCAATATATACACACTTAATAACAGAGATTTAAAACATGTGAAGCAAGACCCCTGACAGAAATGAAAGGAGAAACAGACAAATTCATAATTACAGATGCAGATTTCAACACTTCTTTCTTAATAATTCACACAAGAATAGGACAAGTTGGAAAGACTAGGGGAAGCTTGAACAATACTAACCAACTTGACCTAATTGACATTATAGAACACTACACTCAACAACAGCCGAATACAAATTCTTTCCAGGTGCACATGAAACATTTGCCAAGACATAAATCATACAAAATACGCTCTTTCATCACAATGGAATTAAATTAGAAATCAATAACACAAAGATATCTGGAAAATCTCCAAATATTTGGAAATTAAATAACATACTTCTAACAACCCATTGGTCAAAGAGGCAATTAACAGGAAAACAATAAGATATTTTGAAATAAATGCTAATTAAAACACAACATATCAAAGTGTGTGTGATGTGGTTAAAGCAGTGCTTGAAAACAACTTATAAATTTAAAGGTTTACATCATAGAAAAAGAAAGGTCTAAAATGAATCGTCTAAGCTTCCACTGTAAGAATCTAAAAAAAGAAGAGCAAACTAAACCCAAAACAAATAGAAGAAAAAAAGAGGAACAGAAATTAATGAAACAGAAGATGGATAATCAAAGAAAAAAATCAATGACACCAAAAGTTGGTTCTTTGAAAAGAAAAAAGAGATAAAAACCTACAAATGATCAATATCATGAATGAAAGAATGCACATCACTACAGATCTTACAGACATTAAAAGAATAACAGGATACTAAATATTTGAAATCATCCAACCTACCTCTTCAAAGGAATATTTTTCTACAGTATGAAGAGCATCTTGTGTCTCATTCCACCCGCCAACAGAATAGATGCAGTCATTGAGTGCAGCCACTCCAAGATATGCTCTCCTGGTTCCCATTGGAGGAAGTGGAGACCAACGCTTAGAAAGTGGATCATAAACTTCAAAAGAACGAAGCTCTATTCCTTCATTGTTGATGCCCCCAATTACGTAAATTAAACCTGGAAATGGAATATTTTTGCTCAGATGCTATAGAAAATAGGATATAAATAATTATAAAAAGTAATAGTTGTGATTTCAGTTTGCTATGTCAATGTTATATTTAATGTAGGGCTCACAATATTCTTTAAGAGAGAAAATCAACTTCTGTCTAGTTTATCACGGCTCATATTTAAGCATGTCACAAAGAATTAGTGGTATGAATTTAAAGTGCCATTGAATTTTCAAAGAACTTAATGATGCTATAACAAAATAATTTGTTAGGCAAGGATTTCCCATCTTACTGTCTGCATGATGATCTCAAGTTCCAGATCCATCACTGCCAAATATAGGTAAAAAAGGAAAGGGAAAGGGATTTTTCCCCCTAAAAAATTTCACACACTTAAACCAGGAATGACATGGCCATATTTGATGACAGCCTACCTGTTGCTCAGATGGACATAAAATAAAGTAGAAAACTGAATTTAAATTAGAATAGTTATATGGCTAGATTAAGGTATCAGGATCAATTACTAGAGTACAATAGAATGTAGTTCACAGGCATTTCCTTATTAAATTTGATTTGAAAACACTGGTTCTGACAATATACAATTATTTTTGAGTGCCTAATGTTGTTTCCCATGTTCTAAAGTAAGGAGTTATAAGTTATAAAGAATGGCATTTTAAAGAACATGAGCTAAATGTTAGTAAACTTAGATTCTAGCCCCAGCTTTGCCAATAACCAGCTATGAGAAAAGACAACTCACAACCTGATCTTTAGCTTCCTCTTCTATAAATAATGAGGTTGAAATAGATAATCTCTAACACGCCTCTCCAGCTCTATGATTTTAGATGAGAAGATAAAAATAATAAATATAAAACAACTAGAGAACACTATAATATTAAACAACAGAATACAGTCTGCACCATGTAGTTTGAGCATTTAAATGCTAGTGGAAATCTGAAAAGGTACTCACAAAACAGAAAGAACTTGAGCTGGGAACAGCAGGCTGAGTTGTCAAATAGCAATGGGCAGACTGCTTTCTGCTTTACAGGTACATATAAATCTGCTCTCCAACTCTGCACAGAGAATCAGGTTCTATTTGACAGTACTTACTACCTCCCTCTTAGGGTATAGTAGACAATTAAAATAATGTCTGTACACACCATTTTAATATGCAGTACAACATTTTTCAAATCTGTCATAGCATTATATTCTATGCAGACTAAATCACAATGTATGGTGTTAAAAAACACTGAAGAAGTCTATAAGAAGAGACTATGACGATTGTTTTTGAAATTCTCTCCCTATTTAGAAATGCTAAGGCCTGCATGGGACAGAAAACGGATGACAGTTCAAATGCTTATTTTGCTAGTCAGGTATTTTTGCCTATCTGTAATTTAATCCTAGCTTTGTTTATTTGGGAAAAAATTGATTATTTTGGCAATACAGAAATAAAGATATAAGAAATTAAAAGATATAAGAGGTTAAAGGCAGAACTTCCATACTGTTAGTGTCAATTATTCAATACTAACAGACATAAAAAATACTTTTGTGAAAATAAAGCCTCAAGCTCAGTTTTTTAAAAAATGTATTTTCAGGAAAAATATTTTATAAAGCAATTACACCTTGCATTTCACAGCAGCCAAAGTAGTAGCGTGACATAGCCATGTTGCCAACTAGTTCCCACTTATTTTCATCAGGATCAAACCTTTCAATGGTATTCCCTATCTCAGCTCCAACCCATCCACCTGTAACCAAACAGAAATGTTATTTCTGGGATAGAGGAATCTTATTTATGAAAAACACCTTAGAAAATATCTAATCTGAGGTCTTCATATTATTAATGATTATGATATGGTGGACCAGAGAAGTTATTTGTCCAAGATTACATGAAAAATTACAATCTGTGAGTAGAACTTGGGTCTTTTAACTTTCTTCCTAGTTTTCACTAGAGATTTAAAAAAACGAAACAACAAAAACGACAACATATTGCATAGGAAATACAGTATTTTGCAAAACTACCTTTTGAAACAACTTCCGCATATTCAGAATGGTTATCCTAATCATGAGATTTAACTAGTCAGCTAAAGTGCTTCAATGGACATCTCATCTATGTTTTATCTCCATCTCCTTCTAAGAACTCCATTCTTGACAATATTCCCCAAGTAATACAATTTGAGAAAATGAATTCATAAAGCTGATAATCTCATACAGACACACAATATATAATAATATTTATGGTGTTTTCAATCATTTTATAAAATTATAAAATGTACATATTATGTACATTGTTCTGCATTTTATTTGCTCATTTGGCAATACCTCAGGAAAACATCTCTAAGCCAATTGTTAGAGCTATAATTCCTTATTTCACATAGAAAAAAAATTTTATAAAGCTGAAAACATACAAGTTTCTTAAGGGACAGAAGGAAAATTTCTAAAGTAATCAGAATCTGATTAAGAATTTAAATAATATGAGATATCCTTAAATTGAACACCATAATTACCCAAAGCATAGATAGCCCCATAACACACACACACTCCCAGGCCACATCGGGGTTGATTCATGGAAGCTACAGTTGTCCACTGTTTAGTAACTGGATCATAGCATTCAGTACAGTCAAAAATCATTGAATCCTTTTCACCTGAGTTAAATAAAAGAGACACATATGAGAAAGTCTAGTAATACTAATAGCTTAGAACCATAATACAATATTCAGTAGCATTTCATGTTGTCAGAAATTCAACTATTATGTTCTAGCAAAGCGTTATTTTGAATCCGTGCCATACCACTGTTATTTATTAAAATCCACCTAATGAAGCAAAGACATAATTTTAATATTATCTATTTCTAATTCTACCACCCAAACAATCCACGTAATTTTTAAGGATACAATTTACATTTTAATACTTCTATATTTTTTCATGTATTTTTCATGTATTAGTTTGGTCAGCTGACCCTGGTATAATTGGAGTTTTAATGTAATCCTTATCTAGCAACAAACAGAAAATAAAAATTTTTTAAAAGATACCACTTAAAATAGAATTTTAAAATATACTATACCTAGGAGTAAATCTAATCAAAGATTGTACAAGACTTCTATGGATAAAACTTCTAAACTTTATTTAGATAAAATTTTAAATTAAAGTATATCTAAATAAACAAAGAGATGTACCATGTTCATGAATTAGAAGAGTCAATACAAAGATGACAATGATCCCCAAACTGATTTATAGATTTACTGTATTCCCAATTTTAAAAAAACTTTCTTTTCTATTTTGTTAAAATATACATAATATTTACCATCTTAACCATTTTTAAGTGTACAGTTCAGTGATGTTTTGCAGCCATCACAACCATCCATCTCCACAACTCTTTTCACCTTGTAAAACTGAAACTCTAGACTTAAACAATAGCGCCTCATTCTCCCCTCCACTCCCCGCCCCCCCTCCCCGCTCCCTGGGCAACCACCATTATATTTTTTGTCTTTATGATTTTGACTACTTTAAGTACCTCATGTAAGTGTAATCATATATAGTATTATTTCTAATAACAGATTTGATGAACTGATTCTAAAATTTATGTGGAAGTACAAAAGGAGTAGAATAGCCAAGCACTCCAAGAAAAGAATAATGAGAGCGAAACTGTCCTATCAGATAAGCTTATCAGACTTAAAATAGAGCTATAGTAATTAGTAAAGAGATAGTCAGAAAGACCAACAGAACAGAAAAGAAATTCTAGAAAAAGATCCACGTAAACATGATTACTTAATATATGAGTTTGTACTGCAGAGCACTGGGAAAACAAGTCTTTTATGCTGGGATAATTGGTTACATATCTGGGGAGAAAATGAAACTGGTTCCCTACTCACACTATCCATAAAAACCCAATTCCAGGTAGAAGACAGACATAAATGTGAATGGCAAAACTCGGGGCTGGCCCCGTGGCTGAGCGGTAAAGTTCGCGCTCTCGGCTGCAGGCGGCCCAGTGTTTCGTTGGTTCGAATCCTGGGTGCAGACATGGCACTGCTCATCAAACCACGCTGAGGTAGCGTCCCACATGCCACAACTAGAAGGACCCACAACGAAGAATACACAACTATGTACCGGGGGGCTTTGGGGAGAAAAAGGAAAAAAATAAAATCTTTAAAAAAAAAAAACTATAAAATTTTAGAAAACAATAAAGGTATATATCCTCATGACTCTGGAGTAGGGAAAGATTTCTTTAAAAAGATACAAGAAACACTAACCATAAAGGGAAAAAAATCATAGAGTTGGCTACATTAAAATTAAAAATATCTGTTTATCAAAAGATACCATAAAGTGAAAGATGAAGTAGTAGAGTAGAAAAAGATACCTGCAGCACATAAAACTTTACAAGGGCCTAGAATCCTGAATGTATACAAAACTCCTACTGTGCAGAAAACAGTTAACACAGCAGACCCGAGACTACTTATCCTTAGAAAGGCCTGCTTTCAAGGTTGACCCTTAGCTGGAGTTTGGGAACATGGATATAGTAAGCAGTTCCCTACAATGATACAAAATTTTCCCTAGGGGCTGACCCAGTGGCACAGCGGTTAAGTTCACACATTCCACTTCGGTGGCCTGGGGCTCACGGGTGCGGACCTACACACCGCTTGTCAAGCCATGCTGTGGCAGACATCCCACATATAAAGTAGAGGAAGATGGGCATGGATGTTAGCTCAGGGCCAGTCTTCTTCAGCGAAAAGAGGAGGATTGGCAGCAGATGTTAGCTCAAGGCTAATCTTCCTCAAAAATAAATAAATAAATAAATATAAAATAAAATAAAATTTTCCCTAAATGATAAGAGTGGCTCACTGTGCCTACACTGTTTGTACAAACAATGTGGTTTATATTGAACAAAAGCTTTCCTTCTGAGAGTCTGGAATTTTGGTATGTGCTAGGAAGAGGGATTCTATATGACTAAGCCCCAATAAAAACCTTGGACACTGTGTCTCTAATAAGTTTCTCTGATAGACTACACTTCCTATATGTTGTCACAACTCATTGCTGAAGGAATTAAGCATGTCCTGTGTGACTCCATTGGGAGAGGACTCTTGGAAGCTTCAATTGTTTCCTCTTGTGCCTTTTCCCTTTACTGATTTTTTTCTTTATCCTTTTACTATAATAAATCTTAGCTGTGAGTACAACTATATGCTAAGACTTGTGAGTCCTTCTAGCAAATAGTTGAACCTGGGGGTGGTCTTGAGGATCCCTGACACACCAACAAATCAATAATACAGACATTTTTTAGATGAGCCAAAGACCTAAAAAATCACTTCCTAAAAGAAGAAATCCAAATGGCCAAATAACAATGAAAAAATGTTCAATGTCATTACTTATGAGGGAAATGTAAATTAAAACCATAATGAGATATCACTATATTTCCACTAATAGAGAAAAATTTTCAAGTCTGACAATACCAAAAGTTGGTGTAAATAGGTGAAGTGTAAAATAATGCAGCCACTTTTGAAAATAGTTTGGCATTATCTAGTAAAATTGAAAATCTGAATACTTTATGACCCAGCATTCCACTCCTGGGTATACACCCTAGAGAAACTCTGGCACAGGGAACTTGTCGATACATATAAGAATTCTGATAGCAGCAATGTTGTCAATAGTCAAAAGCTGGAAACAATTATTTAGAACAGCCAAATCAAGTCGGTAACTTTATTAAAACAATCCAAATGTCTCATGATAACAGAATGAATAAATAAATTTTGATATAGTCCATGGTGTACAACAGGAATCTGTACAGCAAGAAACAACATGAATAAATCTCAGAAACATAATGTTGGACAAGACAGAGCAAGAATATTTATATAATTCAGAGTTCAAAAATAGGCAAACTTAGGTGTATTGCTTAGGAGAGCCTACATCGGTGGTGAAAAGTATAAAGAAACAAAAGGAAATGATTATCCTAATTTTCTTCAATTATTTATCAAACTAGATATATAAAATGCACTTTTATATACATTAATGTATATTTCACATCCTAAAATTTAAAATGTAAACCTTATGAATTCATATAATCAACAATTATATTTATTGAACACCTAATAAATGCCAGAAAAAGCTAAAAAAATGGTTCTTGTGGTTTAAAGGATCACAAACACCTGGGCAGATAAGAATCAATCAGCAAACACTACAAGGCTTAATAGTGAAGACCTAAATTGTCCCACTACCAAATGCGCTGGGAGTCCTGGGAAGATAACCATGTTCTGATCCTCTGAGTTCAGTCAGGATAGAGACATAAACAAAACTTACTGCTGAAGGACTTCTTATGTATGCTTGAGAAAGCACAACAGCAAGATCATTATCAGAGATCTAGTTTTTAAATAATAATGTTTATCTTTTCCAATTGGTAGGAAAAAACTGAAAAACCCATAAAAGTAGGCTACTGAAGATTTCTCAAACGTGAGGTTCAACAACAAGAGCAAATTTATTCTCTGTTGCAATTGTAGCCACCACTGAGTTTTCAAACAGGTTTCACATACTCCTCTTATGACTGAGGAAACTGAAGCAATTATACCAGAACTCAAGTAACTTTTCTAAGAGAAAGGCATGAAGGATACGTAGCTAAGACATAATGAGGGGGAGAACGACAGGAAGCGAGATTTGAGAGGCAGATGGGGAGACAGACCACGTAAAGGCCTTGCAGCTATGATGAAGACTGCACTTTACCTGCAGGGTGAACAGGAAGCCGATATAGGGTTGAGAACAGGGCAGTAACATGATCAGACCTGAATTTTAGGAAGATCTGAGGCCACAGTGTACAGAAAAGACTTAAGGGAAATAAAAATAGAAGCAGGGAGGGGCTCGCCTGGTGGTGTAGTAGTTAAGTTCACGTGCTCTGCTTCAGCAGCCTGGGATTTGCCGGCTGGGATCCCAGGTGCAAACCTACACACTGCTCATCAAGCCACGCTGTAGCAGTGTCCTACATAAAAAGTGGAGGAAGATTGGCATGAATATTAGCTCGGGGACAATCTTCCTCAGGCAAAAAGAGGAAGATTGGCAACAGACGTTAGCTCAGGGTCCATCTTCCTCACCAGAAAAAAAAAAAAAAGAAGCAGGGAGACTACACTATTATAGCAGTCGGGCATATATATATACACACACACACACACGCACATTGACGATTGGATGTAGGGTGTGAAAGAAAGAGAGGTACCAAGGATGACCAAAATTTTGTCCTGAGCCACTGGGCAAATGGTTGTTACCACTTACTGGATGGCAAACCCTGGGAGAGAAACAGATCTAGGAGATGAAGAAATCAGAGAGTTTGGTTTAGACATGTTGAGTTTGAAATACATATTAAGACATTTAAATGAGGATAAAAAGACAGTTATATATGCAAGTCTGGAGTCTGTGATTGGAGAGACATGAGTATATAGATAGTACTTAAAGGCATGAGACTGGATAAGATCACCCAGACAGTAAATGTAGATAGAGTAGTCACTTCAGAACTGAGTCTTGGGGCATTCGGCATAAGGAGGTCTGAAAGAGAAAGAAGACCCAGCAAAAAACACGGAGAAGCAATTGCCAGTGAGGGAGGAAAAAAACAGGGAGTTCATCAGCTCAGAAGCGTAGAAAAAAGAAAAAAGGAGGAGAGTGTGTATTAATCACGTCTCTTTATTTTCCGTATTTCTGATGCTTTGACATCTGGGGCCTTTCTGACTTTGGAGGGACCGCCCCTCTCAGGGCTAGCCAATCCTTAAAGACAGTGGAAGACTCACCTGCAGGCATGCCTTTCAAATGTAACTAATCAATTCATCCTTTATTACTGCTCCCCTGTCCTAATCACTCCAGGGCCAGGTACCACACAACGAGGGACCACCCCTATGCCCCAGAGCCTGCTGAAATTATTCAAACTAGCTAATCCTGTATCTGCTAACTCTGCCTCACCCATTCCTTCCTGTAGAAACCACAATAAAATTCTTGCCCACATTTTCCTTCCATTCCCTCCACCTCCTGACCCTGGTGCTTCCCCATGTGACTCGCCCACCCACCCACCCACAACATGGTGAAGCAAGGTGTACCCCTTCCTCTTCGGAACATTGCCTCCTGATGTTTTGGCCTCACTGTACCTGAAAAATAATAAAACCTACATTATAAAACAGGGGGCACTTCAAGAAGTAGAAAGTAATGTGTCAAACGATCCTGAGATGTTCAATAAGATGAGGACTGAGAATTGAGCCCTGGTTTTGCAATGATGAGGACTTTGGTGACCCTTATAAGAATAGTCTCAGTGGACTAATGGGGACAAAAATCAGACAGCCTGATTGGAGCTGGTTCAATAGCATGGGAGGCAAATAAAGACAACTCTTTCGTTTTCTATCAAAGCAGCAGAGAAATGAGGCAGTAACTGGAGGAGGATGTGGGGTCAAGGGAGAATGTGTTTATTTTTTAAGATGAGAGATATTACAGTAACTTCTTAATGGTAATCATTCCGTAGACAGGAAAAACCTGATGATGCTGTAGGGAAGGGATAATTACAAGAACAAGATCCCTGAATTTGAGAGAGGGGATAGGATCTGGGACATAGTGGAGACAACAGAGGTAGAAACAGCTCATCCATAGTAACAGGAGAAAACAAGAGCATATGAGGAGAGATGCAGGTAGACTGGTAGATATGAGAACCAAACAGAAAAGTGGACAAACAATATTAAGTGGTAATTCACAGAAGACAAAATACAATGGGCCAATAAACATACAAAAAAATGCTCAACCTTACTTATAGAAAATGCAAATAAAAATAAGATACTATTTTTTACCTAACAGATGGGCAAAAAATTTAAAAGTTTGATAATATATAGCACTGGCAAGGGAGTAAAAAAACAGGTACTCTCATCTGTTGTTGGTGGAAGCACAACTCGGTATTATCTATCAAAACTAAAATTGTCGGGGCTGGCCCCGTGGCCGAGTGGTTAAGTTCGCGCGCTCCGCTGCAGGCGGCCCAGTGTTTCGTTGGTTCGAATCCTGGGCGCGGACATGGCACTGCTCATCAGACCACACTGAGGCAGCGTCCCACATGCCACAACTAGAAGAACCCACAACGAAGAATACACAACTATGTACCGGGGGGCTTTGGGGAGAAAAAGGAAAAAATAAAATCTTTAAAAAAAAAAAAAAACTAACTAAAATTGTGCTTAAGCACTGACTCAGCAATTTCACTTCTCAACACGTACTTACTGAAATGCTCAAACACATGCATAAGGAGGCATAAATCTAATGATATTCATTGGAGCACTACTTGTAGTAGCAAAAAATTTGAAACAAATGTCCATCAATAAAAGAAAAGTTAAATATATTACAGCATACCCAAAATATAAAATATTTTAAGGAAAAAAATTTTTTTTTCCAGAGCAAGAGTCACCCTGAACTAATATGTGTTACCAATTTTCCTCTTCTTTTGCTTGAGGAAGATTAGCCCTGAGCTAACATCTCTGCCAACCTTCCTCTATTTCATTTGTGGGTCGCTACCATGGCATGGCTGACGAGTGGTGTAGGTCCACACCCAGGATCTGAACCCGTGAACCTGGGCTGCCAAAGTGAAGCACATTGAACTTAACCATTAGGCCATGGGGCTGGCCCCAAGGAAAAATTTTTTAAATGAGGTCTATCTCTATGAGCTGATTAGTAAAACTTTCCTCCTACAAATATTATAAAGTGAAAAAGGCACATTTTGGAAACCTATAGTTAGATACCAATTATATATTTTAAAATCTATATAAGATAAATGTATATATATATATATTTTTCCATATAGATATGAATGCAAGAATAGAAAAAGATCTAGAAGAACACAAACAATATTGATAACAATGACTTCTCCTGGAGCTTTCAAAGGGGATTACTGAGGAGGAAGTTAGAGTCTTTAGTTGAGAGAGACTTCAACTATTATCGCAATGGATTTTTTAACAATGACAATGTAGCCACTTAGTACTTGAATAGTTAAAAATAAGTATTTTAATAAAAAGTAAACAGCAAAAAAGTTTAAAACAATACATATCTCCAAAAGTTAAACATAGTGCTACTATATGACAATTCCACTCCTACGTATATATCCAAGAGAAATGAAAACACATGTTCACATAAAAACTTGTCCATGAATGTTCACAGGAGCTTTATTCCTATCAGCCACAAAGTGGAAACAATCCAAACGTCCATTACCATTTGATGAATGTAAAAAAAATGTGGTATTAGCCATACAATGGAATGTTATTCAGCCATAAAAAGAAATGAAATACTGACACATGCTATGACATGGATGAACCTTGAAAACATTATGCTAAGTGAAAGAAGCCAGACACAAAAACACCATATATCGCACAATTCCATTTACATGAAATGTCCAGAATAGACAAATCCATAGAGACAGAAAGGAGCTTAGTGGTTCCTAGGGGTTGGGAGGGGGGATGGGGAGTGACTGCTAATGTGGACAGTGTTTCTTGATGCAGTGATGAAACTGTTCTGGAACTAGATAGTGGTGATGGTTGCACAACTTTGTAAATATACGACAAACAGCTGAACTGTATACTCTAAATGGTGAATTTTATGGTATGTGAATTATATCTTAATTTTAAAAAATAGTATTTAGAATATTAAGTATGTACGTATATGTATGTGTCTAGGAGGAAATAAGCCAAACTAGTAACTGATTTTCTCTGGATGGTATAATTACAGTATGAGTGATTTTTATTTTCTTTTTCATATGCTGAAGTTTTAGCAAAATTTTCTAGCACAAACCTGAATTACTTTGATAACAAAAATTATCTTTAAATGATATATTAAGAAATATCTTGGGGCCGGCCTGGTGGCGCAGAGTTTAAGTTCGCACATTCATACATAAAAACAACTATTAAGGTTCTAGTCAAAGATTATATAGAATTATGGTCTTTATACTGACAGAAGGTTATTGCTTAAAACTAATTTCTTTGGTGGGATTTTCTGATGCACCATGACATTTATTGATTTAACGAACAGTTTTTGAACAACAACTACATTCCCTCCAAATGATAAATAAAAATCAACTATTCCCTATATCTCTCTCATTTTAAACTGACAGTATCATAGTCAGAAAATAATAAAATTTTTGATATAAAATTTTTACTGTTTTAGACTGACCCATAGAAATAAAGCAAAAAGATCAGCTGTAAGGGTTAGAGAGGATCTACATAGGCTTGTTGCTATAAAGACAAGTTATTCAGAAGTAAATATCGATATGAAAAGTGTTACATTTATTACTCTTTAGATCTTCTCTGATAATTATTTTCTTCCAACCCTCAAATCTCCTTTTATTTAATTTTATTCATTTATCATTTTACAATACATAATGGTAGTTTCAGAAAACACAGTGATATCAATCAAGAACTATATCCCAATATCTAGCTAACTTGGTTCTTATATAGCCCACTGTCCAGATAACTTGTCTAATTAAAAATGATTCATAATGCAGCTTTCAGAATTTTTAAACTTTTTATTATAAATGTGGACCTAGGGCCAGCCCGGTGGCATAGTGGTTAAGTTCGCACACTCTGCTGCAGCAGCCCAGGGTTCACCAGTTCGGATCCCAGGCATGGACCTCATCAAGCCATGCTGTGGTGGTGTCCCACATACAAAATAGAGGTAGATTGGCACAGATGTTAGCTCAGCGACAATCTTCCTCAAGCAAAAAGAAGAAGACTGGCAACAGATGTTAGCTCAGGGCCAATCTTCCTCTCCAAAAAAAAATGACCTAAATTTTGGTGCCACATTTTATAAACGACTTTTCATTAAAACCAAACCTAAGTATTCTATCTTGTGATAAATCACAGTATCTCTTCAATCTGAAATATTTAATATCTGTGTTTCCTTTTTCTTTCTTTCATTCATTTATTCAATAAATATTTACTGGCCACAACTATATTTATGTATACCCCACAGTACCTAGCAATATATATATATAAGGCATATAAGAATGCAGCCAACTTATAACTAGAGACTAATACGGGAAATAAGACATTTTCATTATTACCTCCAATAGCATAGACCATCCCTCCAAGAACTGCTACTCCAAGTCCACACCGAGCCTGATGAAGTGAAGACACAGTGGTCCAGTACTGGCTGAAGGTGTCAAAACGTTCTACACAGCTGAGGGCTCTGCTATCACTCCAACGACCCCCCTGCAACCGAGTATATCCACCTGAACAAAGGAAGGAAAGGAGGTACACAGCAAATCCCTTGCTGCTAAATATGGAAATAGTAGTAATGAGGAAAAATCTAGCCCTAGACATTCAGTATAACCATTTCATAGCAGGATATAAGTGCTTTAGGGCCTGCCATATATACATATATTATTCTTAAATGTGCCAAGTCCTGAAAGATTATGGCTTAAACACAATAAGGCTAACCATAGTACTCTACCACCTGGTCTTGGTTATAAAAGAATGTTAAATAAAACATAAATCTAGGGGCCGGCCCCGTGGCCGAGTGGTTAAGTTCGTGCACTCTGCTTCCGCAGCCCAGGGTTTCGCGGGTTTGAATCCTGGGCAAGGACATGGCACTGCTCGTCAAGCCATGCTGAGGTGTCATCCAGCATGCCACACCTGGAGGGACCCACAACTAAAAATACACAACTATGTACTGAGGGGCTTTGGGAAGAAAAAGGAAAAATAAAATCTTTAATAAAAACAAACAAAAAAAACACATAAATCTATGGCCAGCCCAGTGGTGTAGTAGTTGGGTTCACACACTCTGCTTTGGCAGCGTGAGATTTGTGGGTTTGGATCCTGGGTGTGGGCCTACACACCACTCATCAAGCCATGCTGTGGCAGTACCCCACATGCAAAATAGAGGAAGACTGGCACAGATGTTAGCTCAGGGACAATCTTCCTGAAGCCAAAAAAATAGAGGAAGATTGGCAATAGATGTTAGCTCAGGGGCAATGTTCCTCACAGGAAAAAAACAACCACAAATCTAGAAGCTGGTTACCTGTCTAGTTATGAAGTCTCATTATGACTTCTATTAGTATCTTTTTCAATTAAAAATAGTGAGTTGTGGGGCCGGCCCAGTGGCGCAGCAGTTAAGTGCGCACATTCCACTTCAGTGGCCTGGGGTTCACCAGTTCAGATCCCAGTTGTGAACCTATGCACTGCTTATCAAGCCATCCCTGTGGCAGGCATCCCACATAAAATAGAGGAAGATAGGCACGGATGTTAGCTCAGGGCCAGTCTTCCTCAGCAAAAAGAAGAGGATTGGCGGCAGATGTTAGCTTAGGGCCAATCTTCCTCAAAAGATAAAAAAAATTTAAAAAAAAACATAGTGAGTTGAAATCCTTGTCTGACTGCATATCCCATCAGTAAAAAAATTTTAGCATGCACTCAGAAATCACATATTTATATATTATAGCATATATAAAATTATACATATAATTACATTAAATTATACAAAGTATTTATATATAAATTACGTATATAAATTTGAACAATTTGTCTATATATCAAATATTGATAAAGTTTAATGTTTTTTAAAATAAAAATGAAAAGAGGTTTTAACATGTCCATCTGATACTCCTATGGATTATCTGCACAACCACACTTTGGAAATCACTGGTTCCTATCAACCCTAATGACCATTTTAAGACACTGTGAATACAAATTTTGAAATTTATTTTCCTATTTTTAACTAGAATTCAAATTTTTAACTTTTAATGCTAAAGCAGCATTTCTTTAGTCAGTTTTTGACAAAAATAATTTAATAAGAATAAGTTATTCTTAGATGTGCCCACTGTGTTATATAAACACAGTTTATAAATATGCAGCCTATATGTAAATTAAATATGCCTATTTGACACCTCTGCATATTCTGACATGTACGGTAATAACAGCAAAATATTAAAAGGTTTTGATACCCAAAATAAGGATAATTTCTATTACCTTTTTAAAGGTTCTTACCTACTGCATACAGGTACTTTCTTGCTTTCTTCCTAGGTCGAACCTTAGATGTCTGCAGAAAACCACAAAATTTGTTCTCTTTGGGAGATTTGCACACCTCACAGTACTCTTTCAAAAGTGTTTGCAACGCAACACGAAGATTAAAATCAGATACTCCTAAAGCAATGTTTAAAAAGATAATCTTTTAAACAACTTTTAAATAACATTGAAAAGACATTTTTCCATGAACATAAAATGCATTTAACAATCAAAAAATAAAAATTCATCATCGATGATGTATGTTTCCTACAACACCAAATATTATTTTTCTCATTGCTACTGAAGAATATACTTTCCTTAAACCAAAGATTGCTTTTAAAAATACGCTTCATAACATCCAATTGAAAACACATATATGAGGATTTCTAAATAAAGATGGTGAATGAAATAGGATTACAATTATCTAACAAAATGAAAACATAAAATAGCTCAAAATTCTATACTTACAACCAAATAACAAAAAGGACATAAAATTATGTCACAAACTTTACAAATGATAGTCAAAACAAGAAACAAAAAATTCTGGTAGAATGAGGTCTATCTCCTAACAAGACTTTGAGCATGATTGGGTAGATGATCCCTGCTCAAGGGTGCTTAGCTGAGGAGGTGAATTGGGGATGAAAGCCAATCTGCCCCAGCTAGCAGGCTGTAAGACCCAGCCTCCCTGAAAGGGCACTATTTTCTAATTTGCATAAAGGCACCATATATACTAGCAAGGGACGATCTCCAAGTCTTGTCCCTATATCCCAGAAGCAATATTGAGGAAAAAAGGTCAAGTAACAAAATCTTGAGAACTTTCCCTAATAATTAACAATTTGGAGAGAGGTAGAACAAGCCGGTAAGAAGGAGAACTGAGAAGTCAAAGAACAAAACCATTAAAAGAAAAATCCTCTATGGGAGGATGAGTAATGGTGGAAAGGATCACCAGGGTTTGCCATCTAACAGCATAGTGCCAGCCAAAGTCCACACTTCGGATAAGATACATCCTTGGCTGGATTAAGTAAGCCCTAATACAAGATCAATAACAGGATCTTAAAAGACAAAGGTCAGAGCCCAGGTCCCCAAGCAAAGACCTCAGCCTTAGCAGATCTTTATTGTTTCACCATCCTCATGCCTCAGCTAGAAAGAAGTGGTGAGAACACATACATAGCCCTCAAATTTTAGATGGTAGAAACAAACCAGTTATACTAAGATAAATAGGGCGTCAAGGAGAATTAGCTCTTACATTATCAGAGCAAACAGTTTTGAACAGAGTTGCCCATGTTAAGCATGAGCAATATATCAAGAAACAGCTATACAACTATTAAAATATATCCCAGAAAAAAGAAGAGAAAGAGATTGAAGAATTCAGTCTGGAAGAAAACATTAGCCACAAACAGAAACAGACTCCCCAAGAATGCTTCACAGGATAGAATTACTTAGGAATACAGATTCTATTAAAAAAAGAGCTCAAAGACAGAATGAGATGCATTCGTAAGGAAACAATGTGAGAACTGAAATGACAGTACTACAGACTTAATGAATTAGAAAGAAACACAATAGATATGACAAAAAATCAAATTAGCGATTTGGTGTACAGACGAAAAAACAACTGTGAATACGGAGCAAAAGACAAAAAACATTTCAACATTAGAAGAGAGTAAATATGAAAGACAAGGAAGTTCTAATAAAAGGATGAAGACTACTAAATGAAACATTAAAAGTATTCAGAAATTTCATACATGAAAATTTCCCCCAAATTAAGGAAAAACTGAAGCTTTAAAAGGAAAGGGTAGGGGCCAGTCCTGTGGCCGAGTGGTTAAGTTCGCACGCTCTGCTTCAGTGGCCCAGAGTTTCACCGGTTCCGATCCTGGGCGCAGACCTGGCACTGCTCATCAGGTCATGCTGAGGTGGCGTCCCACATAGCACAACCGGAGACACTCACAACTAGAATATACAACCATGTACTGGGGGGCTTTGGGGAAAAGAAGGAAAAAAATTTTTCAAAGGAAAGGGTATAGTCTAAATGAAAAATGACAAACCTTAACACAAATCAAGAATAATGAAAGAGGATTCTTTAGGCATCCAAGCAGAAAAAGCAAGTCATTAAAAAAAAAAAGAACCATGCCTTACAAAGTTTGGGGGGGGGTGGATGCAGGGAGGAGTATCATGTTAACTTAAGAATATTATGTCACCCAAATTGCTGCTAAATTAAAAGAGCAACAGGCAGAAATTCTCAAATATGAAAAAAATTCAGGAAATACAGTAATCATGAGCCTTTCTTGAAAACAGTTACTTGGTGACGAAATCCAGCCAACCAAACGATGAATCAAATAAGAAAATTCAGGAATAAAAAGACTATGGTTGAAAAACTGGAAGACAGCGTCAAATCCACTTAAATACAAAACAAAAGCACAGAACTAGGGGAATAATTATTGAAAAAAAAATTATATAAAAGCTACAAACCTTGAGGGGGTAAGAAGAAAAATAACAATGCTAATTACCTCATTTTTCTTAGCAGAGAGCCTATTCTGTTTAAAATTGAAACATGAAATGAAACTATGATTTCCTCTTTTAATGATTTTCCTCTTTTGTCCTTAACTCTATAAGAACATTTTATTTATTTTTTATTTTTGAGGAAGATTAGCCCTGCACTAACTACTGCCAATCCTCCTCTTCTTGCTGGGGAGGACTGGCCCTGAGCTAACATCCGTGACCATCTTCGTCTACTTTATATGTGGGACGCCTGCCACAGCATTGCTTTTGCCAAGCGGCGCCATGTCCACACCTGGGATCCAAACCAGCAAACCCCAGGCCACCGAGAAGCGGAACGTGCAAACTTAACCGCTGCACCACCAGGCCAGCCCCTATAAGAACCTTTTAGAACGAATATTTCTTGGGGTAAAGAAATATTTATCTGAAATTAGGTACTACTTCAGTTACTTCTTTGTTAACTTTTAGTGAGATTTAACCATATTTTTTGTATTGTAAATAGTACGCATAGGGGGCCGGCCCCATGGGCGAGTGGTTTCGCCGGTTCAGATCCTGGGTGTGGACATGGCACCGATCATCAGGCCGTGCTGAGACGGCATCCCATATGCCACAACTAGAAGGACCCACAACTAAGAATACACAACTATGTACCAGGGGGCTTTGGGGAGAAAAAGGAAAAAATAAAATAAAATCTTTATAATAGCATGCACGAAATGATTCTTATCCTTATAATTTTTTTTCTATCTATCCATCCAATCACACATCCATCCATCATCCATCCTCCTATACAGAGATATCTAGAATGATATTTACTAGATGTTAATTATAACTGGTTAGTTCTAGGTGGCAGACTTTGGGTGATTTGCTGTTTTTTCATACTTTATTACCTAATTTTTTTATAAGAGCAGGTACCATTTAAAAAAAGTAAAGTCACTCTCTAAAATGCAAGAAATAAATGTTATCATATAGCTAATAATATTAAATTGTCTGAATTATTCCAGTGGTAAATAAAAAATATATACACCAGGGAAAACATCTACACATTTCACGTAACATAATTTAATGATTTCAATTGAGTCTTTTGCTTCCTCTCTGAATTTTGTGGTAGATTTTCATTTTTCTACATTACCTGCCCATCTTTTTCCCAAGATGATCAAACAGAAAAAGTTCCTAAGTTGAAAACTATTCAGATTGCCTTTTAAAAAAATCCTGCACTTACTTCTCCCTTAACTCCTTACAGTTTTTACTCCAGTGAAATACCTTCAGGTGTTAACTATTGGGCATACTTAATAAGCAGTGCAAGACTTGAATATTACCAACAAGCTGTAGGAAAACACGGCCCGATTCTAGGGAACCTTCCCTAGCTCCTAGCAGAGGAACTTTCCTTTGGCACTGTGTCTGTGGCATTTGGGAAAAGCCAATGCAAGGAAGAAAGCCTTTGTCCCATTCCTAAATTCTCACATGATTCATGCAAAAATTGTCTGGATAATTTCTCTCTTCTTGTTTTAGCATTTAAATACAGTTAGACTTCATTATTTGTGGATTCCTTATTTGTGAATACATCTACTCACTAAAACATATTTATAACCCAAATCAATACTCCTGGCGCTTTCCCAGTCATTCATGGACATGCCACAGAGTAGCAAAAAACGTGAATCACCTGACATGCACGTTTCCAGGTGAGGCTGAACAAGGTGATGCTCTGCCTTTTTGTTTCAGGTCTCATACTGTAAACAAGTGTCCTTTTCATAGTCTACTTAGTGCCATGTTTTTCATATTTTTGTGCTTTTTGTTGGTGATTTTGCCATTTAAAATGGACCCCAAGCATACTGCTCAGGTGCTATCTAGTCCTCCTAAGCGCAAGAAGGCTGTGATGTACCTCACAGGGAAAATACAAGTGGTAGATAGGCTTCACTCAGGCATGAACAACAGTGCTGTTGGCCATGAGTTCAACGGTAATGAGTCAACAATATATATTAAATAAGGTGTTTCTGACAGAAACACACATAAAACAAGGTTATATATTGATCAGCTGACAAAAATGTTGTGACCAGAGGCTTATAAGAACTTACCATGCATTTCCCCTATGAACAATAGCTCAGTATTTGCCAATTTAGTGTTTGCGGCAACTTTACAGAACATAATTACCATGAATAACAAGAATTGGCCGTATATGCATTAATACAAGATATCACTCAGAAAAACCTACAAAATTCTATTAACACTGTTAAACAGAGTGGAGAAAAACTGAAAATCCACATTAAATATAACTCCTTCACAGAATTATGCCTTTAATACTAATATTTAATTTATAAGATCATTTGCAATTCAGTCATATCGTAAAGTTTCAGTACACGACAAGAGTAAAAGCTTCAAATCTTGAGACCAGGTCTAAAGTAGTTTTTAAAAATAAGTTTAAATATTACCATTTTTCTAACGTAAAGATAAAAACTATTTTATACTATGGTGAAAAGTATTTTCAAAGTTTAGAACCTAAAGATGAATCAAAGGCTACTTAGAAGTTATGATAGTATATCACTATAACATTCATTTTATAATGAGAGGACTTACAGGATTTATTGAGTTTTGTTTTTAGGGTATGCATTTTCCTCAAATGTTAAGTTTTGCTGAATTTTTCAGAGTGGCAAGAGGAAATCTTACACTGAAATAATTAGTATTGCCAAAAACAGAAGTAGTATTTTAGCTCTGTTAGTAATTTTATCTATAACTCTAAGCTCCCTTAGTATTTAATCTCCAGAAAGTTACATAAAGATTTGATTAGGGAGTCGGCCCCATGGCCAAGTGGTTAAGTTCGCAAGCTCTGCTCCGGCTGCCCAGGGTTTAGATGGTTCGTATCCTGGGCACGGACATGGCACCGCTCATCAGGCCATGCTGAGGCAGCATCCCACATGCCACAACTGGAAGGACTCACAACTAAAAATACACAACTATGTACCGGCGTGCTTGGGAGAAAAAGGAAAAAAATCTTTAAAAAAAAAAAAAAGATTTGATTAAAATAATGAATAGAAATACTGAACTACTACTGCCTACCCACAAAACACAAAAGTTGTATCTCGCATATAGTAATCATTCAATAAATGTCTGCCATTGAACTGAAAAATGAAAACACTATCACCTTTCAAACAGAGACAAAGCCATTGGATAATTAATTGACTAATTTGATATGCAACAAAAAATTACCTTCTATATACTTTAGAAGCCTCTGAGGAGGTAATAAAGGGAATCGAACTGGGTCTAGCACTTCCACCACATATTTTCTTCTCTTTCCTAGATCTTTCAGAATCCATTGCATTGCAGCTAAGAAGACCTGGTATTCATCCTCAATGCTAAGCTCTTCACTTCGCAAAATTTTGATCAGCTGATCTTTTGTAAGTGCCAGGAACTCTTCCCCACTATGAACCTCCAAGAAATGGACATGAATGTAGTTTTCTGTGAATTCCAAAAGATCATGGCAGGCAATTTGCTCTGAGAACTGAAAGACCCCAATACAGTTCAGCGGATCAATTTGTCCCTTCAGAAACTCACAACAAAGATTGACAACTTCAGTCAACTGTAGCATGTCCGCAGCAACAATCAACTCCTGGACATTATTCACACCTACGTTCACTATACCTAGGGAAACAGGGAGACAAAACAGCCAATAAAATAAAAACAAACACTTGACTTATATTCAAAAAGCATTATACTTGATTACACTGATAGCTTAGTGTTCGCAGTGTAGATAAATGCTAAGTAAAAAGGCAAAAAAGAATTTATAGAACGAGTACAAGACAAATGATAATGATACTTAGCATTAATGGAACACTTACAACGAACCAGATACAGCATTAATTGTCTTATGAACTCATTTAACCCTCACTATACCCCAGAAAGTAGGCATTTTTTTTCTTAGTTTTGTATTAAGAAAACAGAATCAGACTTGTCCCCAGTCACATGGTTAAGTGAGTTGCAGGGCTGAGACTAATATCGAAGTCTCGCTTTTACCATAAGGCTACACGCATCTAACAAACATTATGAGGCACTGGGGAGAATAAGACAGGGTCCCTATCTTCAATTACAACAAAGTGCCATACAAATATCAACTTTTAATTTTATGTATAACCAAGAGTCTATAAACATGAAAAGTTGTTAAGTACTTAATATTTAAGTAACTATATATATTCTGCTCTCTTTCCAGAGGCTTTCACTTTCATTTATTTATATAATGACTTTGGGAGGACATCAAATAGTCAATTATATTGAAGAGGAAAAAAACCACTGTATTTCTCCTACCTAAGGATAAACTCTCCGACTCTCCATTCAGTCTTACACTTTCCCTTTATCCCTTTTATGACATTCACTCCACTAAACTATTTGTTTGTATTCCCAATTAGATCTATAAAAACTTTTGGGGCAAAGCTTGCCCCTTCTGTATTCCCAATGCCCAGCACACACTGAGTGCTCAAAAAAATTTCTTTAAATGAATGAAGGGTCAAAGAGATTATGCTGAGAGGAAGAGTATGGCTTGTTGAATACAAACAGGGATTTTTCCAAAAGTATGAGAAACGGAATCCACCATGGAAGTAAATGGTAGTGGCTGCAGAGAAAACTGAGATAAGACTACCTGAATAAAATGAGAATTCATTACATATTCGGAAAAGATAAGATCATGGGTAGTGACATACGGGAGGTGAATGACTGCTACTGGATAAAGCCAAGAGTTACTTGAGAGTAATAAAAAGAATGCCCTACAACTTAATAAGCCTTTATAGTTTACAAAAAGCACTTTTACATTTATTAAAATTTATCTCATTTAACCTTCACATGAAACATAAAGTGCTACTTATCCCCTTTTTATGAATAAGGCAAATGAGGCTCTCATAAGCTCATTTTATTTTGTAAGTACCTGAACTGCATTACCTATGAAGCTCTGTGAAGCCAGAGGCCATGTCTGTCTTGTTTACTGTCATACCCCTGTGCCTAGCTCAAAAAAAGTACTCAATAAATATCTGTTAAGAGAATGAATGATTGACTAAAGCTAAATGAAATGCTTTGTATCACATAGCTAATTATGTGATCACAGCTAGATCACAAACCTAAGTCATTTAATTACAAGTAAAGTAGATGAAAAACTAAGGTGAGAAACATTCATTAAGACCTATTAGAATTGTGAACGGGTAATAAAGAATGTATAGACAACAGGCCAGCCCCAGTGGCCTAGCAGTTAAGTTCAGTGTGCTCCGCTTTGGCAGCCCAGGTTTGGTTCCCGGGAGCAGACCTACACCTCTTGTCTGTGGCACCCATGCTGTGGCAGTGGCTCAAATACAAAAAGGGGAAGATTGGCAGCAGATGTCAGTTCAGGGCGAATCTCCTCAGCAAAAAAAAAAAAAACAATGTATAGACAAGTCCAAAGGAGAGATCAACAGGTTTTGCTGCCCTCATATCTCAAAAAAGGAAATGCTATTACAATGAAAATGAAGAACATATTTTTAGGGGCTGGCCCTGTGGCTGAGTGGTTAAGTTCGTGTGCTCCACTTCAGCGGCCCAGGGTTTTGCTGGTTCAGATCCTGGGCGCGGACATGGCACTGCTTGTCAGGCCACACTGAGGCGGCGTCCCACACGCCACAACTAGAAGGACTCACAACTAAAATATACAGCTACGCACTGGGGAGATTTGGGGAGAAAAATCAGAAAAAAGAAAAGATTGGCAACAGTTGTTAGCTCAGGTCCCAACCTTAAAAAATTTTTTTTTCTTTTTTTTTTTCTGCTTTTTCTCCCCAAATCCTCCCAGTACATAGTTGTATATCTTTTTTTAGTTGTGGGTCCTTCTAGTTGTGGCAAGAACATATTTTTAAAGAACTAATTGTATCAAAAACTACAAAGCTTCCTGTCCAATAAATATCCAATATTCATTTTCTTTTCATCCTTACCAACAGAATCTTGTTTCTGCTGTGGGTGGCAATTGCGCCCTGCTGAAAATTACATTTCTCAACCTCCCTTGCAGATACGAGTAAACTTTTGACTGAGTTTGGCCAACAGGATATAGGCAGCAGTTATTGGGGTAGGGCTACCAGAAAAGCTTAAAAAAGAGGATAGACGCAGCTGGCAAGCACTTTTGCCTTTCCGTCTTCCTCGTTCCACTGGCTGGAGTTCAGTGATCATGAGATTAGACGCTACAAACTATAAATGGTGGAGCAAAATGTTGGAAGAGTAATGGGACACCAATGACATCATGAAGCCACCACACCAGCCTTGGAATGCCTACTATGGACTCATCTTTGCAGAAAAACAAATAAACTCTTATCTTGTTAAACCATTTTATATCTTTTACTAGCAGCCAAACATTGTTCTTAACTGTTAAACCAATTTTAGCCTTAAACATCAATAGTTCTCCACAATGTTATTTCCCCCAGATACACTCAGTAGCTTTATTTCTGTGAGTTTTACCACTTCTTATTTCTTTGATGGAAGTGCTTATCACCAGCAATACAGTGATGCCATGAACATTCTCTTTCGCTAAAAATCTCTTGTTGCTACTGTCAGACAACAGAGTTAGAACACACAACTTGTGGCATTTCTTCTTTTTTTATGTAGTTCAACACTAATGCCATTGGGTCAATCTGTGTTAATTTATACTTTGCAAATAAGAGAAGCAGGAGCATTTATGAAGTAGTTTAATCAGCTCATACGTCATTTAGAAAAGTGAGGTCAAGAACTCCTCAACATTAATTTGTATATTAGCCAATAGATAGAGCTGCACTGATTTCAGTAGATAAAGATAATCATTTTTACAGTCCCCAAATTAAGAATTATCATTTTCTGAAATTTTCCAAAAAGGAATATGAAACAACACAGAGAACAGAAATCACCTTTTGTCATTTTCCAGGTTTAAATACCATGCATTAAATAAATAATACTTTATTAGGCCACATAATTATCTCCCACCAAGTAGTCCCTTAAGAAGAGCATGGTATATTCTCAAAACTAGACCAAACAAACATAGTCTTTGATCTCAAACATTTTCTTCTGACTGTAAGAGTAATACACATTCACTGTAAAAAAAACTTTAAGGCAGAAAAGTATAAAAACAAGAATTAAAATCACACATTTTCCCATACACATACATTGTGTATTTCTTTCAAACTTTAGTTTCTTTCAACACTCTAGCATATTTCTTTGAAATCTTTTTTCCATGCATATTTATGTTGCATAAGACTTATACTTTATAATAGTTTTTGTGTGCATTTTCTAATGTCATTAAAACTCCTCAAAACATTTTAAAATTAAAAGTTTTGATTAAAATAACATGCTGATTATAAACATTTTTGAGGAAAAACAGAAAAAAAGGAAAAAATAAGAATCTTCCATATCTGTCATCTAGAGATAAACACCATCAACATTCTAGTCTCTTTCTTGTGCACAAATACACACACAAATGATTTTTTTTATTTTTACAAAATTGAGGTTGTATCTATATCCAGATTTTTTTCATTTAATATACTGTAAACATTATTCCATGATAGTGTGCATGTAGGTATATATGTATATGTAAAAATCATTTATGAGATCTAGAAAAATATTCCATTATATACACATGTACTATAATTTATTTAACCATATAACCTGCTGAGGGACAATTAGATTGTATTCAATTATATACTATTATAAATAACGTTACAATAAACATCCTGGTACATAAATATTTGCCTGCATCACTAATTAATTTCTTAGGATTCCTAGAAAAGGAACACTGGGTCAAAAGATAGGAACTTTTCAAAGGCTCATAATAACATATTGCCAAATTCCTTTCCACGTAAGTTAGAGCAATTTATATGCCATAGTAGTGCATAGGTGATTGTATCACTCTTCACTCAAAGCAACAGGTTCACTTAACGTACCTGTGTAAATGAAATCTAGAAGTATTCGAAAGATTCCAGCTTCAATTCCTAGAATCTGTACAACATCTTTTGAAGACTCTTTCATTCCTCCAGTGAACAAAGCTGCAAAGTAAGGACTACTGGCAGCCAAAACCAGCCGATGAACTTGAAAAGTCTCCTTCCCAACTTGCAGCTGCACGTCACAGAAATGCTGTTCATTCCTCATTTTATTGATCTGGGCCAAGATGAGTTGGGCATGTTTATCTGATGAAAAAGGACTATCACCCGCCTTGGAACAGCCCTCACTAGCCATGACGATGATAAATTAATTAAAAGGACTGTTGCCCATAATCCGGTCCTATCCTGAAAAACAAAGTAGAAAGAGACCAAGCAACATACTTTCGTGTTTAACATGTCTTCTATTCACACACATATGAAACATTTCCTATCCTCAAGGAGATTACAATCTACTTAGGGACACAAACACACATGAAACAACTAAGGACTAAACTGTGTGGTACATTTCCTAATAGGGTTTCAGAGAAGGAAATAAGTAATGGAGGCTAAAATAACTAGAGGATGCTTCACAGCAGAAATGGGACCTCTAGTGGATAATGAAAGATAAATAGTACTAAGGCACCAGGAGAGGGCATAAGCCCTTTTGGGTAAAGAAAATAAGGAAAAGCACAAACATAGAAAGTTTTGTACACTGCAGTAAGGAGGCACACATTGCAGCCAGAATGAAGTTCCAGAAAGCAACTGTGACCGGGCCAACTGTCTGCTTAAAATCCTTCAATTTGTACACTTCCCTTAGCACAGGAAGCCCTTCATATAGACAGGGCAGGGCCTGTCTTTCATAGCTGTCGCACCAGTATCTAATACACTAGATTTTCAAATGTTGGTAAAATGAATGAGTACGATGAGAAATAACAATAATAGCTTAGGTTGTTTTTGTTTAACTCTGATAGCTTTTCCACACATTACGCCAATTATAATTTTCACAATAATTAAGAGGCTGGAAGAAAAAATATTGTTATTCAAAACGAGAGAGAACAACGGAGCTCAGAGTTTACCAAGGACACAGTGTTAGTATAATGACCGTCTTGGTATTTGAATCCAGGTCTTACTCTAAATCCTGGGCTTTTCCCACAGTATCACATGCATAGGAAATACTAGGCCAGGTTATAGAGAAAGGGCTTTGAAACCCAAGCATAGAAATCTGGTCCTGAGCCTTTACAGGTTCATCAAAGTAAACATGACTATAGTCATGTTTTAGAACTGTTATTTGAGCCTTCAGGGTGTGAGTTAAGAGGTAACAAAGTCCTAGAAAAACAGACTTACGGCTTCAACAATGAAAATCAAAAGGATAAATCTAAGTTACTTTTTGAATAAAGAAAACATGAGATTTGGCAATATAAGAGATATAGAGATGAAGCATAAGAGAAACCTAAGATGACTAAGGTTTTGTAATTTAGGCATCAAAGACAATTGCTATAAGACTGACAAATGATGTGGGATCATATTAGAAAAAAGTGGTTAAGTTTACAGCATTCAGTCAAACTTATCAAAGAAAAAATAAGGTGATTATCATGATGATCTGGGAATTAACTTATTGAGAAATTTGATTGCGAGTTTCCAAGGTAGCTGCTAAAACTTCACGTCAGCATCTACAGAACGTCAACACGTTAGATTGAACTGGCATATAAAAGCAAAGAGTGTATTTGTCTCTATGTAGAAATTTGACCAGCAGATACTAGTAAACATGACATGGCTGTCAGGCTTTTTTCTGCTTTAGATTTCTTCCTGTCAAGAGGTTTTGGACCCGAGTGGTTTAATTACAAAGTATCTCCTTTGCCCCCAATTTCAAGGCACCAAGCACAGTCACTGAGCTAAAATGCTGCCTCCTGCTACGAAGAGTTCACTAAAAACCCACTCTGTAACAGCCCGTAGAAATCCTAATGTTACCACGCTTCGCAGTAACTGCAGATGCTATCCCACTGCCAGGGGAGTATTTCGTTCCAAAAGGCGCACCTGGGGTGACCGTATTTCCAAAAGGAAAGAGCATAATTCCGGGACACTGCATAGGAATGTAAGGCACATGCCTCAAGAGACGCAAACTTGAAAGGCAGATTATCAGGAAACGGTGGAGACGCCCAGGGAACTACAGAGAACCTATGTCTAGTGGCCTTGAATTCAGCGCCCAGAGCATCTGGTAAACTGCTCCCGCAGAGGGTGACAGAAAGAATCCAAGGACGAGCGAGCGTCCAAAGAATGAGGCTCTTTGTGCTTGCAGTGGGGGCTGGACCTGGAGGGCCAGCACTACGTCGCTGCGACACTAAAGGAGGATCAACTTGCCGGCGCTACCTAAATGGCGGGGAAGGCATCTCAGACCTGTCTGGGGACAGCAGACGGGCCAGCGGCTCGGCCTTCGGCCTGCCCCGTGGGGGCGGGGAGAGGAGAGGCAGGAGCGGGCCGGCCCAAACGACGCCCGGGGAGGGCGCAAACACTGCGACTGCGAGCGGCGGCCGCACGCCGGTTCCAGAGGCTCCTCTCACGCTGCTTCTCAGGCTCCCGATAGCCGGGAGAGCCGAAGAGGAAACCCCCACCTCCGTCACAGACGCACCGGGACGCAGGCCCCTCTTACCCGCCGCTTCCCCTTCCCGCCGGCGCCCGCTCCGGCTCTGCGCGCGCAGCCGCGACCAGCAGGGGCGTGCAGAGGGCGGGGTGACCGGGCAGCTCGGCCGCCGAGGGCGGGAGCCGAGGCCGCGCCTGGCGAAGGGCCTCTCTCTGCGCCGCCGGCCCCGGCCGTGGCTGCGCGTGCGCAGTGTTCCTCCGCGCGCCGGTAGCCGCGGCTCCCTGGGCCGGGCTGTCGTGGCCCGCGATTTGTGCTGGTCTCCTCGCAGGCAACAGCCCAGCTGCACATCTGAGCTCCTGCCTGTTGAGCTTTGAGCTATTTGGCTCACCCTTTCCACTCCGCCTGTTCTTTCTCGACTCTTGTGGCCTCCCAGGCGACCAGCGAACCTCAGTGTTAATGCAGGACAGAGATGAACACCCGGCGTGGCGCTTCTCTCTCGTCTTTACCATTCACTCACATCATTTTCTGAGTCTCTGCCTGACTGATCCCGGAGCTGTGAATGGATGCCTACTTTGAGAGAAGGGAGAACTCAAAACGTCCAGTTATTTTTCTTTGTTGAAGCTCATAATATGTCGCATTAGTGACTTTCAAACTTTCTGACCCCAGCCCGCGGTGAACAAACACATTCTACATCAAACCCAATAATACCACACACGTGTATATAGGTGCATATATCTGAAACAAAAATCCGCAAAACTGTTTATGCTTACTACTAGTAATGCTCTGAATTCCTATTTCTTCTTTTCGATTTCGTTGCCAAAAAATACAAAAGGTCAAATTGTCAAAGGCTTGGAAATGAGCAAAAGAGATTACTGGCTGCCCTTTCAGTGTAAGGCTGGGCATTGTCTAGCAAGCGCTGGAAGGATTTGAATCCCTAGGGACCTCTTTCTATTGACTAAGCTATTTTACAAGACTGATAATATTTAAAATAAATCTTGTCTACCCTGTAGAAAAGATGTCTCAAAACATTACATTTTATTGACCTATGGGATGTTAAACCACCTTTGCCTCTGTTAGCAAACTCATTTCAAAGTCTCGTTTCTTAGCAAATTCATACAACATTGCTATGACGTTTTACTGGTTCTCTCATTAATTAATGAGATAAATAACTTCTTTTTAAAGATTGGCACCTGAGCTAGCATTGTTGCCAATCATTTTTCTTCCTCTTCGTCTTCTTCCTCTTCCCCACCTTCCTCTTCCTCCTCCCCCTCCTCCCCCACCTTCCCCACCTCCTCCCCCTCCTCCCCCTCCTTCCTCACCTCCTCCCCCTCCTCCCCCTCCTTCCCCACCTCCTCCTCTTCCCCAAAGCCCCCGGTACAAAATTGTATATTCTAATTGTGAGTGCCTCTGGTTGTGCTATGTGGGACACTGCCTCAGCATGGCCTGATGAGCGGTGCCCTGTTGGCACCCAGGATCCCAACCGGTGAAAACCCAGGCCACCAAAGGGGAGTGTGTGAACTTAACCACTCGGCCTCTGGGCGGCCCCCTAAATCATATTTTGGCGTGTTTATTTTATATTTATTTGAAAGTCATGATTTTACCTTTGAGAAAATTATACTTCACCACTAAAATTAATTTCACAATTTACTATTGGATTGCACCCAGCAATTTGAAAACCAGTGCTTTAGAGTATGTACCTAGGAGCAGAATTGCTGGAACATGTGGTCCATACATCTTCGATTTCGGTAGAAAATACTTCTTTTCCAAACTCTTTGTTCCACTATACATTACCACCAGCAGTGAATGAGAGTTCCCTTGCTCTGCATCCTTGCCAACACTTAATATCATCAGATATTTCAGTTTTGTATAATCTGAGTGTAAAATATTTCACTTTTATTATAATTTACATTCCCTGATTATTAATGAGATCAGGCAGTAAAAAGATGTTTATAAACTGCTATAGACTGAATTGCGTCCCTGCAAAATTCATCTGTTGAAGCCCTAACTCCCAATGTGATGGTATTTGGAGATGGGGCTTTTGGAGGTAATTAGGGTTAGATGAGGTCATGACAATGGGCTCCTAATGATGAGATTAGTGCTCTTATAAGAAGAGACACTAGAGAGCTTGCTCTCCCTCTCTCTCCCTCTACCCCTATGTGCACAAAGAAGAGGTCATGTGAGCAGGCAAGGAGATGGTGGCTGCCTACAAGCCAAGAGAGAAGCATCAGAATGAAACATACCTTGTGAACACCTTAATCTTGGACTTCCCAGCCTCCAGAACTGTGAGAAATAGATTTCTGTTGTTTAAGCGACCCACTCTATGGAATTTTGTCATGGCAGTCCAAACGACTAATACATAAGCCAATTACGTTTCTTTTCCTGTAAAAAATGGCTATTCATGTCTTTTGCCCGTTTTTCTATTCAATTTTTTGTTTTTTATTGATTTTAGGAGGTTTTTTTATTATATACGTAGCCAATATTTTCTTCCAATTTGTGGTTCTCTATATCTTTTATTTATTGTTTCTCCTGGTGAACAAAAGTTCATAATTTTACCAATTTATCAGCCTGTTTATCTGTTTGCACTTTGGTGTGTTGCTTAAGAAATTCTCCCCTCTCCAATGTCATAAAGATGTTATCTTACATTTTATTCTAAAAGTGTTATAATTTCTCTTTTCACATTTAATTCTTTAAGTAACTAGGAATCAATTTTTGTGAATGGATTAGGATAGAGATCCAAGTTCTTTTTTGTTTTTCCATATGTATAACCAATTGTCACAACACTATTTATTCAATAGTTCATATTTCCCCACTGATGTGCAATGCTAGGTGTCTCCTATATTATGTTTCCTTTTGGGTTGGGATCAATTCTCAGTTCCATTGGTCTGTTCATCCATGCCCTACTGTTTTAATTACTGTAGTTTTGTAATATCTCAGTATCTGAAAGGATGAGTTTCCCCATCTTGTTCTTCAGCAGTGTCTTGCTATTCCTGGCACTCTTGGATCTTCCACATAGATTTTAGAACCAGCCTGTCAAGTTTCAGACCCACATACACACAAGGTGGGGGTTCTATTAAAATTTCAATAAAACTATAAGACAATTTGGAGAGAATTAACATCTTTGTAGTATCGAATATTCTTGTCCATTAAGAAAATTAAATTTTAGAAATTTTTAAAGTTTGGTAATTTTATCTATAGGGCCTTATTTTTTTTATTAAGTTTATTCTTGAGTATTTTTAGATTTGTGCTATTACAAAATATAACTTTTTTTCAAAGATTTTTAAAATTTTTCCTTTTTCTCCCCAAACCCCCTGGCACATAGCTGTGTATTTATAGTTGTGGGTCCCTCCAGTTGTGGCATGTGGGATGCTGCTTCAGCATGGCTTGATGAGCAGTGCCATGTCCACGCCCAGGAATCCAACCAGGGAAACCCTGGGCCGCAGAAGCAGAGTGCGGGAACCCAACCACTCAGCTACAGGGCCATCCCCGTAAAATATATCTTTTTAAGAATTAGACTGTAGGGGCCAGCATGGTGGTGCAGCAGTTAAGTGCACACATTCTGCTTTGGCGGCCCGGGGTTCACCAGTTCGGATCCCGGGTGCGGACATGGCACCGCTTGGCAAGCCATGCTGTGGCAGGCGTCCCACATATAAAGTAGAGGAAGATGGGCAGGGATGTTAGCTTAGGGCCAGTCTTCCTCAGCAAAAAGTGGAGGATTAGCAGCAGTTAGCTCAAAGCTAATCCTCCTCCTCAAAAAAAAAAAAAACAATTACACTTTATGTTTTTTGGATACAGAAATGAAATTCACGTCTGTATATTGATATTATAGACAACAACTTTGCTTAATTCTCTTATTAATTAACAAAATATAGATTTTTTCAGATTTTTCTGTGTAAACAATCATATCACTCGCACATATGACAGTTTTGTTTCTTTCTTTCCAAATCTTCTACCTTATATTTCTTTTTCTTGTCTTGCTTGGCTGGCTAAGATCCCTAGTGTGAGGTTGATTGCAGAAGCAACATAGTGTAAGAATTAATGCACAGACTTTGGAGCCAAAGGCCGAAGTCCAAAACCTCGCTATGCCACTCTGAGACCTTGAACAAGCTGTTTAACTTTTCTTGTCACTCAGATTTTTCAAGTTAAACCATGTCTAATTATTGTATGTCATCTAGTTGTTGTAAGGATTAAATTTCTTAACATATGTAAAGCATTTAGTACCTGGTAACTATTAACACTTTTCAATTATTAATAAAACAAAAAACAGTAATAATATTATGTATCCTTCTACAGTTCCTGATTTAAAATATTTTGCCATTAAATGTTTGCTGTAGTTTCTTTGTAGATATCCTTTTGTCAAGTTATAGAAGCTCCCTTCTAATCCATCTACAACCACTATTAGTGTTAATACTACTACAAAGAATAATGATGATAATGCTTAATACATATAGTATTTATTATGCTCTTAGCCCCTACTTTTATCGCATCTCCTGAGTATTTCATGAATGAATATTGACTAAAGCAAAGCCTATTTCTGTATGTATTTAGAAGATCATATGGTTTTTCTTCTTTAGTCTATGAATGCACTAAATTACATTAATAGTTTTTCTAATGTTAAACCAATCTTCATTTCTGATGTGAACTTCACTTGGTCCTCATGTTGATTATTAATTTGACGTTGCTGGATTTGTTTTGCTAACACTTTGCTTAGAATATGTGCATCTTTATTCACGAGTGAGGCTGACCTTTAATTTTCCTTTATTATACTATTCATTTCTTTTCTTTTCTTTTCTTTTGAGGAAGAT